CCAGAGGCTCAATTCAGCTATATTCCTCAAGACATTTCCACATGTTTGTACATTTATTTAGTGTGTGTTGTGTGTGTGTGTGTTGTGTGTGTGGTGTGTGTATGTGTGGTATGTGTGTGTGGTGTGTGTGTGTGGTGTGTGTGGTGTGTGTGGTGTGTGTGTGTGGTGAGTGTGTGTGTGTTGTGTGTATGTGTGTGTGGTGTGTGTGGTGTGTGTATGTGTGTTGTGTGTGTGGTGTGTGTATGTGTGGTATGTGTGTGTGGTGTGTGTGGTGTGTGTGTGTGGTGTGTGTGGTGTGTGTGGTGAGTGTGTGTGTGTGGTGAGTGTGTGTGTGTTGTGTGTATGTGTGTGTGGTGTGTGTGGTGTGTGTATGTGTGGTGTGTGTGTGGTGTGTGTATGTGTGTGTTGGTGTGTTGTGTGTGTGTTGTGTGTGTGTTGTGTGTGTGTTGTGTATGTGTGGTGTGTGTATGTGTGTGTGTTGGTGTGTGCATGTGTGGTGTGTGTGTGTGGTGTGTGTGTGTGGTGTGTGTGGTGTGTGTGGTGAGTGTGTGTGTGTTGTGTGTATGTGTGTGTGGTGTGTGTGGTGTGTGTATGTGTGGTGTGTGTGTGGTGTGTGTATGTGTGTGTTGGTGTGTTGTGTGTGTGTTGTGTGTGTGGTGTGTGTGTGGTGTGTATGTGTGGTGTGTGTGTTGGTGTGTGCATGTGTGGTGTGTGTGTGTGGTGTGTGTGTGTGGTGTGGGGTGTGTGTGTGTGGTGTGTTGTAGTCAGAGGCCAACTTTTGGGAGTCATTTCTGTCCTTCCAATCTAGGGATTGAATTCAGGTCTCCAGGCCCAGTGACAAACGTCTCTACTTGCTAAGGCATTTCACAGGCCACATTATTTTGTTTTTCAGACAAGGTCTCTCATGGAACCTCGGGGACACCAGTTCAGTCAGGCTGGCAGGTCAGTGGGCTGGTAGGATCCACCTGTCTCTGACACTGCCTAGTGTTGGACTTGCAAACATGTGTCATCACGCCTGGCTTTTTTTTTTTTTTTACGTGAGTCCCGAGGATGACTGAACCCAAGTCATCATGCCATCATGCCTGTGGGACAAGTGCTTTGCCCACTGAGTCACCACTCCCCCACCCCCAGCACAGAATCCGGCATCTTAGCAAAGGAGAAACAGTGTGTGTGTGTGTGTGTGTGTGTGTGTGTGTGTGTGTGTGTGTGTGTGTGTGTGTGTGTGTAAACAAGGCAGTGAGGTGGCAGGGTTGGTCCTGGAAGGGCCCAGAACTAGGGATGGTGAGCGTTACTAGGTCGCAGATTCATTTCATACACAATCCCATTTAAACCTACGTGGAAACTCCGACTACTCTCATTTTCAGAGATGAGCCCTCGGAAGGTTGCGTGACCTGGCTTGTGTTTCACAGTCAGCCAGAGGCACCCACACGCTCAACCACTTGGTTGACTATATACAGATAAACGGAGGTGGGGGGCGGGGTAGGGCGAGGAAGGAAGGAGGTGTGTGGTCCTCACAGCAGGCACTTGGAGCACTGTCCACAGTTACAGACAAGGAAACCCAGGTCCAAAGAGGTATACGGAGAAACCCTGAGACCTGTGCAAAAATAGGTGCCCACGAGGACTTGAGCAGGAGGGGCTTCCAAGTCACCATCCCCTGACTCAAAAAGAACCCTGCACTCCCACCTCTGAACACCTCAGGGTGCTATATAAGCTCTCATTCACAAACGATGTGAACTCTAAAGGATCTGGGGTCTCTGCCTCTGCTGAGGGTACTGGGCGAGCAGCACAGTAGGTGGCCACCTCTCTCATAGGCGGCTTGGGGGGGGTCTTTCACCCTTCTGATGTATTCAGCCTAGGAAAACGAGCTCCGTGCCTACAGCTTCTTGCACCATTGGCTACAGCCACAAACCATGCGGTACTTTGCTCCCTCGTGCCTGTCGACAAGGGATTTTCAAGTAACACTGATCTCTGGAAAAATCCGGGTGCCTACCGTGGGACAGCCACGGGCTCGGCACGCAGCAGGCCCCCCAGAACGCACTTTCTGAATTACTCTATGAGCCAACAAGTAACTGAATGGGGTTTGTAAAGGAAGGCATGGTGTCGGTCTCTGCAACGACCTTGCGGTCATTTAGGGAGAGAAAGAGAACGGTGTCCGGTGAGGGCCAGAGTCTTGGCTCCTTTCTTGCAGCGATCCTTGCAGGAGCCCGCCACGGGGAGGGCACTGAGTCACACTCCCTGTAGCAGAGGGGTACGGTGTGCTACGTGCACTGCTTAATAGCGAGGCTGCCGCTTAAGGCGCCTTCTACACCCCGTTTCCCCCAGCCCCGACCCCTCACGGACCTACCGGCTCCCCTCAACAGCAAAGTTGTCCCGTCCTTCCTGTCTCCAGGGAGGGAGGGAAGGACGCTGGACCCGTTGCGAGGGGGCGGGACCATCCGGCCCTGGGGGCGGGAGCTTCCGGCTGCGAACTTCCTCCTGGACTGCCCAAGCTCTCCCTAGACGCCTGGTTCTTCGCAAGGCTGGTCAGAGCTGAGACTTTTTACAGCTCCGCTGCTCGGGAGGTGGGCGTCTGGTTCTCACGTTCAGACCCCGTAACCCACCGTCCCCCTTTACCTCTAACACTAAGAGACAACACACAGCCAAGTGCCGCGTGTAAGCTTTGAATCATGCGGTTGGGGGGGGGGGGGAGATGGCTCGGATCTGTGGCTCAAGCACCTATGTAGCAGGTGGAGAAGCCATCCTAGAGTCACGTAGCATGTTTGATGTCAAGCTCGTGGGCTACCCGAAACCTTGCCACAATCAAAGCTATCGGGTCTGGAGAGCTATTCAGTTGGTAGAGTGTCCGCCCGTTTGCAGACAGACTGGTGTCACACACCCGTTATTTCCAGCAGTGGGGGCGGTCGAGAGGCGAGAGGATCATAAGTTCAAGGTCACTCCCAGCTGTGGGTACAAGAGACCACCCCCCTCCCCATCCCAGACAACAAGAACAACGCGCCATCGACAATAACCAACCGCTGAACACCAACAAGAAGGGTGCGTGTGAGGAGATGATAAATGGGAATTTGTTCAAGTCACAGTCGCAGACCGATGGTCTGAGTTGCTGTCCAAAGAGACAGAATTGTAGACGGCAGAGAGAGGATTGGGGAGGGGAGAGGAGAGGGAGAGAGGGACAAAGTCTGAGGTTCCTCCTCTTCTGGCTCTCCTGGTCCCCATCACCAGGCAGCTAGCTAGCTAGCCCCAGCCGCTCTGCCCAGCACCCTCCTGGTTTGGAGCAGCACATCCATTTCTTTGATTGCATTTTAGACAAATTAATTTCCCTTTGACTCGTATTGCCGCGTCGACAGAAAGAAAAGCAGTAGAAAACCTAGTCTGGGGGTGGGGGAGCATCGGAGTCTGGAAGGTTGGGGACCATGAGGGAACAGAGTTCACCCACCCCAGCCCCAGCCCACATTGCCCCGTGGTACCTGTGGGCCGGCATTCCTCCTCCTTGGACTTTCTACATTTTTCTCTTTTCATCTCAGACCACTCCTCCTCAGTCTCCTGGTGTGTAGAGGACACAAGGTCCTTGTGCTCACAGATAAGCACCAGGGAAAGCAGGAACGTTAAACCCACAGGGTTGTCTCTTCAAAGGGAGAGGTATATGACCTGTTCCCACCGGAAGGCTGGGAGTGGATGTGGTTAATAGCCGGGACACACACACACACACACCTTTGGCTATTGGGACGGAGACCACACCAGACCCTCCCCCAGACCCGTAAAATGTCACGTGTAGTCCATATACGGAACCCATCCTTATGGGAGATGCCACGTGTACAAAGAGTTTTGATATAGCCGTACCTTAAGCTTTATGTGCACACGAGACTGGGTTAATTATCACCAGGGAAGTTTCCCCTCCCCACAAATTGTTATGTTACTTAAATATACCTAAAATAAACTATCCAGTGTCAGATGCTTGAAGTTTGAACCCACGCTGGCTACTGAGTCACATAGAACCAGACTTCCTTCTTTCCTGTGTGTACGGTTACCCTTCTGGCTGCAGTGTTTGCAGAGAAACACACACACACACACACACCGGTGTCTCAGCCCGCAGTGCACACACATCCTCCTCAATACTATTAGGTAGGTGGTCACACGGTGATGTGTCTTCACTGTGCTCTCAGCTGTGTCCCCATTCTCTCCTCATGCCCTCCTTCCCTCCCTCCCTCCTTCCCTCCCTCCCTCCCTCCCTCCCTCCCTCCCTCCCTCCCTCCCTCCCTCCCTCCCTCCATCCCAGACTGCTTTCCTCTCACCCAGGATTCAAGACCACATTCTTGGAAGAGGGTCCAAGATTCTGAGCCCCTGCTCTCCAGGAAGCTGCAGGTGGGTGGGAGGGTCTCCCCATGGTTCCCACCTGACTCAGGTGACGCTCCAGACAGTAGGCCTGGAAAAAGCGATCATCTTCCACAGGGCATTTCCAGGAGACCCCCAAGAGAAGTGCATAGGCAGTGGTTTACCGTTAGCCAGGCCCTGTTCTACACAGGTGGGTTCAGCATGGGGCTGGGTAGGATGTATTGTCCCCACTTTGAGGGTGGAAAAACTCAGCCTTAGTGGAGGGTGAGGCTTGCCCGGTGAGTCATCAGAAAGTCCTGGTCCCTCTTATACTGGTCCTTAGAGCTTGGGAGGGGAGAGAGTGAAAGGTGAGCAGACAAGCCTGTTTCTCAAAGTGGGTAGTTCTTAGTTCTGGTAAGGGGTGTTAAGTGGGAGGGCTCAAGTGAAATTCAGCAGACCCACATTTCCTAGCAGTGGGACGCTTGGTAGGTCACAGAGCCACCCACTCTGCTAAATGTCACTTAGTGTCTTTGGAACCAAGAAGAGCTAAGATGAACGCAGAGCCTTAGTAAACCCTGACTTCCTTAAGTTGCCTTTGGTTGTGGTCTTTATCATAGCAACGGAAAAATAACAAATACAACCCATAAGTAAGGTGTGTGTGTGTGTTTCCATTTAAAAACATCACTTCTAGGTGCTAGATGGACGGTTTAATGGTAAAGAGCACTGACTGCTCTTCCGGAGGACCAGGGTTCAATCTCCAGCACCCACGTGGCAGCTCACAACTGTCTTCAGCTCTAGTAGCAGGGACCTCTTCTGGCCTCGGCAGGTGCACACACGTTCCGCAGACACACACGAAGGCAAAATGCCCATATGCATAAGAATAAATCTTTTTTCCTTTGCTCTTCAAGACAGGGTTTCTCTGTGTTGCTTTGGAGGCTGTCCTGGACCTCGATCTGTAGATCAGGCTGGCCTCTACCTCACAGAGATTCGCCTGCCTCTGCCTCCCGAGTGCTGCATGTACCAAACACCTGGCAAAATAAATCTTAAGAGTGAAACAAAACCACAATCATTTCAAGGAAAGAGGAGACCCTCTCAGCTCTTTCCAAACACTCCCAATATTACAATAAATCCTATTAGAAACCATAAGGAAGGTGAGGGTTGAGTTTCACATGCTGTGATAGTGTTGTCAACCTTAGCGAAGGAGCCTCCCTGGGAGCTGGACTTCTGGGCATGCCTGGCAAGGGGTCGGGGGTGGTGGTGATGATGGTGGCGGTGGTGGTGGTATCTTAGTTGTGCTACAGTGGGAAGCCCCAGTCACCAGGGGTGGCACCATTCCTGACCCAGATCAACTGTACAAAGAGACAGAGAGAACCAAGCAAGCATGTGCTCATTGCTCTCTGCCTTTTGAGTGTGGACTCAATAGGAGACCCCCTCCCCCTCAAGCTCTTGCTCCTGGGAATTCCCACTGTAACTAAACCCATTCTTTCTAAAGTTGCTTTGTCAACAGATAAAGAAACTAAGATGCGTGTTTCAAGTACACTGTCTGGAGGGTTTTGTTTTTGTTTTGTTTTGTTTGTTTTTGTTTTATGAGACAGGGTTTCTCTGTATTGTTTTGGAGGCTGTCGGTCCAGCCCGGCCTCGAACTCACAGAGATCCGCCTGCCTCTGCCTCCCGAGTGCTGGGATTAAAGGCGTGTGCCACCACCACCCAGCTGGAGGTTTTGTTTTAACTGTTCACATATTTTAAAAGCCCTTAGCAGTGTAGCCAAAGGAATTTGCTGAAGATGGGTGCCTCACAGTCCTGTATGGAGCCGGGCAATGATGAGCTTGGCGCTTTCGCTTCCACACCCTGGTAAAGTGAGGGAAGGGTACAGGCTCAGAGGCGGCGTACTTCTAGGGGAGTGTGAGAATGTCAGGGAAACACATGCTGTCCTCCTCCATGGACTGGAAAATCCACCGTTATCCAGAGTTCTGATCTGGAAGGATTTCACAGCAGGGCTAGTCTGGACAGGGAGCCACAGGAGCCCAGACAAAACAAGGCACAGACATCTCTGGTCAGCTCTTGGCATGTTTTAGTGGGTTTGGTGTAGACCTTCAAACTTTGGTTCTGCACTCTTGTAACCCTGCCCTGTCATTGTTTGCTCCCCAGAAAGGAAGCCCTGAGTGTGCATGGGTGTGTTCTCTACCACATTTCCTTACTTCTGGCTCTTGAGACTTTTTGTGTGTTTGAGAAGGTGGAAGTTTGGTTGGTTTCCTTCTGAGACCTTGCTTGTCTTGGAGTGTTTGTTTTCAGTATGACTTTATTGTTACAAGTCACAGGGTGGGGACACAGAAAAAGCAGACACTGACTGGCACTGAACGGCAGGGTTCCTGGCATATGCTTAGCCACTCACAAACCGTAAGGTTACTGCTGAGCGTGAAAACAGTTCTGTCAGCCAGAATAGGAAACAACAAACCAACTAACTACTACTTGGTCAGTTTTGTTGGGCTAAACCGACTTTGTCATTTTTGGGGGGGGTTCGAGACGGGGTTTCTCTGAATTGCTTTGGAGGTTGTCCTGGAACTCGCTCTGTAGACCAGGCTGGCCTTGAACTCACAGAGATCCACCAGCCTCTGCCTCTCGAGTACTGGGATTAAAGGTGAGCACCACCACAGCCTGGCCTACAATCATCTATTTTCAACTATTACCACAGTTTAACTTTTTTTTTTCCATTTCCCCGGCTTCCCTAGGAGGAACTGGGCTATATCACCTTTGTCATCATCACCAATAGGAAGGAAAAAGTGTTTGGCATCATTATTAGGATGGATGGCATCAGCAATGCCACACCCAGGTTCAGTATTGATGCTGTGCATAATACTCTTGTCGTCTTCATCCTCAGCCAGAAGAACAACAGCAGGAGCAAGAGCCCGGCCAGTCGAGTGAAATGGGTCTGTGGCCTCACCAAGGTCAGCACAGGCACGATCGAAAGGGCTGACGTGTATGGCAGACATTTGGGCTTTATTTCTCAGTTCTGTTAGGACATTTAAGAGGTTATTTTTTCATTTAAATTTTACCACTTTCATTCATTTTGCCCCTTGTAGGTTTCATTGTCTAGATTTTAGTCTATACAACGCTCAGGTACTCAGTTTAATTTTATTACTACGGCTGCCGACACCCTGTAACCTCTGCTTCCTTTTGGCTTGGGTTAAAAGACCTAGAGTTTTCTAAAACCTTCGAGCGGGACCTGCTCAGCTCTCTGCTTTACATTCTTGGTTCTCTATATAATGGGAAGACATAAAAAGAAAAGGATAGAATGCGTCCACTCCTGTCTTTATGACCCGGACTTTGTGTTAACAGCCAGATTTAGAGGATGTGTTTGTGGGGCCCGGGAACAAAAGGGACCGCTCTCTCCCTGCTGCACTGCTTTGGTGCTTTTTGCATGGCAATCGCCCGCGAGATTCTGGGATAGCAAAACAGTGAAGGTGATCTTTGAAATGCGTGAACCCACAGCCTAGGGGAGCCAGTGAGCTGCTGAGCTCCAAGAAGGGATTCTGGAGATCTCACTCTTTAACCCTGACTGTTACACCTGGGGGATGCCTGCTCCAGCACCATCACCTACTCACAGCAGGACCAGTGAGATCGAAGCCTGAAGGATTCATTCAAAGCCCCGAGGGGGAGTGACCCACTGAATCATGTCACAAACCAAATGTTACAGTACCTTAAGGCTGGCTCAGACAAGTTACTTAATACACTCATCGAGTTAACCAGATAAGTTTAGGAGGTGTGAGATTTGTAAACTAGTGCAACGCTGCTTGGCAGCCTTGAACTCACAGAGATCCGCCTGCCTCTGCCTCCTGAGTGCTGGGATTAAAGGCGTGTGCCACCAATGCCCCAAGAAATTTTTCACTTTTCAAAGCCAGGAATCACAGGGGAAACAAGCATGGGTCCTTGAAAACTTTCCTCGTCCTGCTATAATTCTTCATGAAGACATACATTTGATAGCATGCTACACTGCAGGGGGGAACTGGCATCTTTCAGTTGGAACACAAGATCTGATGCTTTTTTAGCACTACACACGTCTTCCCATTGACACACCCTCCCCCTACCCGGGACCCCTCTCCGGAACCTTCCTCCAAACTCTCCAAGCTACTTAGCTACACGGAGTTTTGACCCCATTGCTCCAACCCTGATGCGCAGCAGTAAAGGTGAATGTGTGAGCTCCACTGGCATCTGTAGAGCAGTTCCTCAATCTGTATTTCAAAGGAAACACCAACTGAAAGAGTCCATCATCACAGAACCGTTCATTACAGGTTCAGTATGCTAAACAAGTAAAAAAAATCTCTTTAACTTAACCCACACTTGACACCACTTTTGATTCCATGGGGAGTACTCACACTTGAGGAAGGGTTTTAGGGAAATGGTGTTTACAGTTTTCCAATGACACAGATGTCTGCACCAGGTTAGACGCTCTGTAGGTCATTGAGCCTCTTCTATTTAAGGTGGCAGAAACCAGGTACCATTGTCAGGTGCTCCTGCTCCAAACGAGCCCCTCAGGAAATTTCTCTGAATTAAACAACAAAGGCCTTGAATTAAGGTTCATTGTTTATTCCTTTAAGAGACACTATTTATGTCTTTGAGTAAGTGGGAAGGGTCTGGGAGGAGTTGGGGGAAAGGGAAAGGATGAACAGAATATGTTGAATAAAATTTTTGTTAATTAAAATCTTAAAAAGGCAAAACAAGATTTATGCCTTAGAATCCTCAATACATTAATTGTCACTAAAACAAAATAATAACAATAGTCCAGGAACAGCATGCAAAGCTACTACTTTAAACCCATTATCATCTGGTTCCATTTTAGGAATTAAAGTTATTTTTGTTATATTTGTTATAGGCAAAACACAATCCAGAAATACATATATTCCAGTTTAGCAATAAAACTCTGAATAGTAACCTATATTTATTATTTTTGGTCACCTTGAATGAGATTATAATGTAGATTGATTTTCAAAATAGTAACTTCTAACCTGAAAATTTCAATCCCATTTCTAAGAGTCTAATATGGACTGTAGTTGTCACAAAGCACAGGCTAATATTCTTAGACATTAACATAAACTACACGTTCTCTTTGCATGTGTATGTGTGAGTGTGGGTGCCCACGTATGAGCAGGCACACATACATGCATGTGGAAGCCAGAGATTAACCTCCAGTGTTGTTTGTTCCTCAGCATCTGTCAGTCTTGTTTTCGATCGTCCTAGGCTGGGAGGCTTCACCATTGATGCTCAGGAACCTTTGCCTCCGCTAGAGCACCAGAATTATAAGCGCATGCCACACCCCCTTTCCCAGTGGATCTCATTCAGGACCTTGTGATTGGAATGCCCTTTGCTGACTGTACTGCCTTCCCAGCCCCAATATAAATCAGATCGAAAACCACGAGACGTTTTACTACAAACTGAAGTTGTAAACCCAAATACATATGCAGGAAACGTAGGCACCACGAGGAAATATCCAGGTGTGTTCCCGGGAAACCGGAGCAACATGGCCTTCCCATGTAAGTGGTGTCCTCTACACATGTACCAAAATGTCATGCAGACTCAAAGTAGACTGGATTTTACACCTTAAACCCAGGTTTCTGCAGAAGACTCCTGACGTTTAATGTAGACTCAATTCATGGTGGAAACCAATTTATCTATGAGCCTAATTGGGTCGTAACCTTGACTTTTACATTTCTGGGTGGTGTTTCCAAATGCTTTTGTAGGAAGCAAGTGTTTGTGGGATCTTTTTCTTTCTTTACTATCTCACTTTACCAAAAATTTAAGCCACAAAATGTAACGAAAATAGTTCAATGCCTTCTTCAAGAATTTCTCCAACACAATAATTTCTACTCTATTTGTACTGAAGTCCTGCAGACTTTTAATGAAATTAATTATTAGCTGGTCGAAGTTTTATTAGTGTTTCTATTGTTTATGTAATTTTCAGCATATAACAGTGCCAAGCTGCCAAGGGCTTTATAAGATGGAGAGATACAGGTTACCACCAACTTCAGCTGATGAGACTCTGGGTTTGGGCCCGGGGTTGGTGGCACACACCTTTAATCCCAGCACTTGGGAGGCAGAGGCAGGCAGATCTCTGTGAGTTTGAAGCCAGCCTGGTCTACAGTGGTGAGGGGTGGGACCATCTCTTTGAGTGCGGGGGTGGGGGGTGGGGGGGGGCGGGGAGCGGGGGAGGGGTGTCAGCTCACCTGTTGGGGGCTGGGTCCAGCTCTCTAGCTGCAGGGTCCCAATGAGGAGCAGGGCCAGTTGTCCCAGCACCTGTGGGGGCACTGGCTGGCTCAGCATAGTCCTGGGATTTTTTTAAAAATTTAAATTAGAAGCAAGCTTGCTTCACATGTCAATCCCAGCCCAGCCCTGGGATTTCAACATGCGTGGTTCCTACTATCTCCTGTGTTCACATGGGCCTTGGACATCATCGCAGACCCCAGCTATAACAGGAACCCAGACCCAGACACGGTCCACAGCAGCAGCCCAGGCCCAGACACACCATGACACACCGTGTGGCAGCACAGCCACACAGACTGGCATGGCCCCTGTGGCAGCATTAGATTCATCCATGTTTCTCTCTTTTTCATTCTAATGTTCCTTTAAAACTTCTAATAGCCAGGTGGTGGTGGCACAGGACTTTAATCCCAGCACTGGGGAGGCAGAGGCAGGTAGATCTCTGTGAGTTCAAGGCCAGCCTTATCTACAGAGGGAGTTCTAGGACAGTCAAGGCTGCACAGAGAAAGAAACCCTGCCTCAAAAAACCAAAACCCAAACAAACAAACAAACCTCCCCAAAATTATTGTATGTTGTCCAATTGCCTAAATATGGCTTCATCAACATACCCATTCTATTCTAGAACTTTTCTTAGATTTTATTTTAATTAATGTGTGTGTTTGTCTGTGCTCCACATGAGTCTGATACCTGAAGAATCCAGAGGAAGATGTTGAATCCCCTGGAACTAGAGCTATAGACAGTTGTTAGTGCTCTGACAAGCCAGCTCCTCCCGCCCCTACCCATCCTGATCCGGATGAACAGCTTAGTCACTTCCAGTTCCAGGAATAAAGTTCATGAAAGCGTATTTGATGAAGGAAAGCGAGCCACGCCAAGGATACCAGGCAGGGAAGTCATACGTTATCAGAGAGAGAGAAGTCACTTATATGAGAAGCCGAGAACTGAGGTTAGAGGCATTCTCTGCTGGTCTCCAACCTTGATCGCAGCCCTAAGAGAAAGCGCGACCCCTCCTTCCTTTCCTTTATCCCCCGGCTTTCCTGACGTACCTTTCGCGGATACGTGAGATCTCTACCTACACATATTTATTTACGTCTTACGGTGGACATGCACAGCCATTTCTCTTGCATACGGGCCTGGAAATGGAGTTGCTGAATCAGAAGCTGTGCTTCTTTTAACTTCATAAGCAGCTCTCAGGCCATTCTCAAAGTGATGGTTCTCATCTCCGCACCCATCAACATGGACCCACAATGCTGATTCAGCTGCTGTTCTGAGGCCCCCCCAACCCTGACAGCTTTCTCAGCAATCACCCAAGGGTGCTGCTACCTGTTGGCTGGTGCTGGTCAGCCGTTTGGGTCAATTTGCTTTAACACCCAGCATCTGACCAACAGTATTTAGTGAGTGCAGTAATAATTTACTATTGCTCGGCTGGGAGCCTTAAAAAGAGCAGTGATGATATGACTAGTAGGTCACATTTATGAAGCCCGTCCTATGGCTATTTTAAAATCCGACTTTACTGGGGTGAGATTTGTAAGTAATAAAAGGCAAGATGTTTAGGGCATAATTGTACTTTTTTGCTTTTGTTTTTTGTTTTCTCCGTGGCTTTGGAGGCTGTCCTGGAACTAGCTCTTGTAGATCAGGCTGGTCTCGAACTCACAGAGATCCGCCTGCCTCTGCCTCCCGAGTGCTGGGATTAAAGGCATTCACCACCAATGCCCGGCTTACATTTTTGTATTCTTATATAACACGAACACCTTGAGAACTTGGGGATCCTTCCCAATCAACCATTCCACCCCATGTTCCAGGCATGCACTGACATACTTCCCGTCATTACATATTAATATTTCCTTCAGTGTTAGAGACATAGAGACTGAGAACCTACTCTTTGTCCTTGACTTCCTTGCTCAGGATAGTGTTTCTGAGATTCATCCATGTTGGAATGTGTGTCAGTAATGAAACTGAGTGCAGTTGTGTTCATGGTGCAGATATATCACGACTTGTTTACCCATGCACTTATTTGGGGGACATTTGAGTGACTTCTAGTTTTTAGTTAGTAAGAATAACGCTACATGCCTTTGTTGGCCTGATTTTACTTCTCAAAAATCTTTTTAAGGCAGCATCTTCTACACCATGGGTATGTATATTTATCAGTTACAAGATAAATTTAAAAATAAAACTGCTATGAACATTCATGGTCTTTATTTTGCGAAAAAGTACTCCTAAAAATTTAGGTTTATTTATTTTGTGTATATGAATATTTTGCTCGAATGTAGTCTGGTGTGTGGCTGATGTCCTTTGAAGTCACAGGAGGGCATTGGAACTAGAGTACCCTTACAAGTACTTCTTGCCTTTTTGAGCTTCCTGAAACCTAAGAGATTTGACAGGTAAGGACCTGGCATGTGTGAGTATAAGCAAATGCTTGTCAATTGATGAACAAACATGCAAATAAGCACCCATCTGAGAGATGATTTGTCTAAGTCTTGTGGCTCATTTGTGAGGGACTGTCAAGAGTAAGCTTCAGCCTAGAACTCCTCTAGGAGATGATGACCCAGAACAGAAGCCCTGGACCGAATTCAGGGGTTGGTGTGGAGAAAACCCTATTACAGGATCTAGGGACTGTAAGAAGGGAAGAAGGATGCTGGGCGTCTGTGCGCATGCCTTTAATCCTAGCACTCGGGAGGCAGAGGCAGACAGATCTCTGTGAGTTCGAGGCCAGCCTGGTTTACAGAGTGCCAGGACAGGCTCCAAAAAAAGACAGAGAAACCCTGTCTCAAAAAACAAAACAAAACAAAAACAAACAAACAAAAACCCCAACAAACAAACAAAAACCCCAAAACAAAAAAAAGGGGGGGAGGAAGGAGATGGCAGTCAGCTGTCACAAAGAAGGCAGAATGTCCAGAGATACATGATGTACAGGGATGAAAATCCCAGCCTAGTTAGCTGTGCACTGACCTGGTCTAGTAGTAGCACCCACATCATTGTGACCTTGATAATGAGTTTCATGAACCACCAGCATTAGCGTTACCAGGGAGTCTTTCTTGAGTTTGAGGACAGCTGACACCACTCTAGACTGGATCACAATCAATTTTTTTTTTCCCACCCAAGAAAAGGTTTCTCTGTGCATCCCTGGCTGCCCAGGAATATGCTCTGTAGATCAAGCTGCCCTCGAACTATCAGAGATCCGCCTGCCTCTGCGTCTGTCTCCCGAGTGCTGGGATGAAAGGCATTCACCACCATGCTTGGCTCACAATCAACTCTTCTTAACAAGATCTGCAGGTGATCTGTGTTCATGTTTGCGTGGAGAAGAACTGAGCTATGGCAGACATATGCTTCCTGGGGGTCGTTCAGGGTTTTTAGCTGTGTAGATCATGTTGGCCTAGTCCTCTTACCTCAGCCTCCGGGTAAGGTAATTAATCCAGTTGGCGACAGGAGGTGCTGCTGGTTGTTTCTTTCCGCCTACCCCTTTTTTACATTTAGTGGATGAAAGTCTCCATAGAGCGCATGCTCCTCTGAAGCCAAACCGGAACCCGTCGGCAACAACCTCACTGGCACCGCCAACCTGGTCTTCCTAGCAAGACGTAGAGAAACCCTCGGCTTCGGCCCGGCAGCACCTGCCTCCGCTCGCCCAATCCACACCGGACATCATTCCGGCCCCGCCCACCAGCGGTCGCCTTGAGCCCCGCCCTCTCGGGAGGGAAGCCCCGCCTGGGGCCGCCTGCGCCTGCGCCATGCCGCCGGTGGGCGGGGCGAGGGCGCGAGGCGGGGCGGCCTGGAGGGTCCCGAGCGGAGCGGAGGCTGCTCGGCTCTGGCGGGCGTCCTGGCCGGGCCGAGGGGGCTCCGTCTCCCCTTCCTCCGCCCTCGCAAGTAAACTCTGCCGCTCTGCTCGCGGGGCCCCCGATACTCGCCGCAGTGTCTCCAGGCGGCGTGGGCCGGCGTCAGGGCCTGTCTGCCTCCCCCGGCGCGGGGCCTGGGCGCCATGGACGCGACGGCGCTGGAGCGGGACGCGGTGCAGTTCGCGCGGCTGGCGGTGCAGCGCGACCACGAAGGCCGCTACTCTGAGGCGGTGTTTTACTACAAGGTAGGGCCGGGCGCCGGGCTCGGGCTCGGGCTCGTGCTCGGGCGAGCCGAGTCACGGCAGCGAGTGCTGGCGGAGCCCGAGGCGGAGGGGCGGGGTCCTGCTCCCCAGGCCGCCGTTGTAGCTGGCTGGTGCCGGCGGCTCTGCTGGCCCGCGGCTGGGGGTGACACGGGGAGTGGATGCCCTGTGCGCTGTCCCTTGGCCCTGGTGTGTGTGTGTGTGTGTGGCCCGCGTGGGCGATCTGTCACAAATAATATGCCGTGAGTGCGTGTTCGATGTAGAAAAGAAAAAGTAAAATAGAAAAGGAATTCATCCCTTGCTCCAGCATTCGATGTGTGTGTGTGTGTATGTGTGTATACATATATATGCATGGCTGTTTTTCTAAACGCATGTGAGTTTACGGGTTTTCACTCCCCAAACTTGAATCGTATCGTTTATTATTGTTTTAACACCTCACTTCTGCATTGTGTGCCTCAATAATCTGGTTGCTCGCAGGTGCTACATTTGCAGTCTCTTCCGGTTGTTTCAAATGATCGCAGAACCCGGAGAAGCTGCTGCTGCTATTGACTCGTAGTAACACACTATTATTGGTCTTTTATATAAATATGAATATACACACGTATATACAATTTGAATATTTGGAAACTTTAGCTGTGCTGTCAACTTTGGAAAAAGAAGTATCCCAGTTTACCTGTTGAGTTGGCATTGTATGGAACATTAACAGCCACATCGGTCTAGAAATGTTGAACTTAATTTTTTTTTCTCCATTTGCACAGGGTTGAGGCGCTGTATTAAATATGTAAGGTCTTATCTACGTGGGTTTGATCACAAAAACTAATAAAGCGTTCTCTAAATAAAAAGACAAAAAAACATAAACAAACAAACAAACAAAAACCTGGCTTGCAAAATGAAGGTCAGTGGTAGAGGCTTTGGAAACAAACAGCACAGAGGCCAGGCCTGTGAGTTGTAACACCCATTCAGCTCCTGTAGAGAGGGGCTGTCCCTTGCAGGGATCTCTGTCCTAACCTCAGAACAGGGACAGGGAGAATGGAAGCCCTCCCTCACTAGCCATAGCACAGCTGGTTGTGGGAGCTCTGGGAAGCTGGAAGGTGAATTAGGCTTTCTTAGTTAAGTTTGTTTCATTAAAAACTGAAATCTACTTCATTATGTTCTACCCTAGTATTTTTATTCTCTTGTGAGACTTTAAATCTTTACAATTTCTTGTTTTTTTAATTGATCTTATTGTTTTGGTGATGGTTTTAATGATTTGGTTTTGGTTGTGATGGTCCTGGTTATTGAACCCAGAGTCTTACACGTGCTAGGCAACTGCTGTACATAGCTAAGCCCTAGCCCCTGTTTTAATGCTTTTAAAACTCAAGGGTACCTTTTCAAAGTATATAATTTACACATAAGGAAAACAGAAAACATGCCAGTCACAGCTATTCTGAAGAAATGTTTAACGATTGGGTTCTTAAATTTTCAACAGAATATAAAGATTAAGGATATTGAAAATGGAAAGGTAATATAGAGGGTTTTATAACTTATTTGATGTATGAAAAAAACTTGAAGATGTTTTTGTTTTGTTGTGAAATGAAGAGAGAATTAGAAAGTAGTAATTAAAATTCATATTGTGAAGATCTTTTGAATTATATTATTATTATTGTTATTTTAAGGAAGCTGCACAAGCCTTAATTTATGCTGAGATGGCAGGCTCCAGCTTAGAACGGATCCAGGAAAAGATCAGTGAATATCTGGAGAGAGTCCAAGCTCTGCACTCTGCAGGTTGGTCAGACATGACTTTCCCTCTTCCCTTCCCTTGCTCCTGACCACATTTACTCCTGTTTCTCTGTCCTCTTCATCTTGGATCTTTTGGGGGGAAGATGGGTGGAGTGGGGTAAAGTTTTGAGACGTGGTTTCTCTGTGTAGCCTCTGGCTGTCCCAAAACTCACTCTGTAGACCAGGCTGACCTGGAACTCACAGAGATCTGCCTGCCCTTGCCTCTCGAATGCTAGACTAAAGGTGGGCACCACCATAGCCCAGCTTCATCATCTTGGATCTTGATACTCTTTCTGCTCACTGAGAAGAATCTCTTTTTTCTTTTTGGTTTTTTTGAGACAGGGTTTTTCTATGACTTTGGAGGCTGTCCTGGAACTAGCTCTTGTAGACCACGCTGGTCTCGAACTCACAGAGATCCGCCTGCCTCTGCCTCCCAAGCTCTGGGATTAAAGGTGTGCGCCACCACAGCACAGGAAGAGAAGAATCTCTTAAGGAGATTTAAGAAATCATGATCGGGAAATAAATTAATAGATCTACAAGAAGAATGTTAGAGATAATAGAGTTTTCTCTAGGATAGTAAATTCTCTACATTGAATTTATCATTGACAAAATTGCAGTGAGGACCATGTCGGAGCCTGTTTTTAAAGTGTCAGTTCTGACACTAAAGTTAAGGCACTCAGCATTTTTACTGCTTACAAACTTCAGCAGTAGGCAGTAGATTCACATTTTTCTGTCAGTGTCCTCTACTTACAGACCTTGGTGAACTCTTTGTTTTAATGCCACACCCTGGAAAGACAACATGTAAGCAGAGGCCTGGAACAGCTTGCGTTTATTTTTATAAACAGCGTAGCGGGTGCCACGGGAGAAGTATATATAAGCTTAGTGATCAGTTTCGTTAAGAAAAGGGTTCGTGTCAAAATATGTTGTTCATATGGCTAGAAAAGAAAAATATTGCTGACATTTGGCTTAGAAATACATTCATTTTGCCAGGTGGTAGTGGCAGTAGGCTGCACACCTTTAATCCCAACACTTGGAGGCAGAGGCAGGCTGATCTCTGTGAGTTTGAGGACAGCTTGGTTTACAAAGTGAGTTCTAGGACAGCCAAGGCTACACAAAAACCAAAATATGTGTGTGTGTGTGTGTATTCATCTTTAGGATGATTTTTAAACCTTTTTTTCCTTTTTGTATTGTTGGATAATTCACAGAAGAATACTCAGAATTTTTACTCTAGATCGATTCTGTTGCTGTCTACCACTTACTCTGAATGGAATGAGCAGTTATAAACACATAATTAGTATAAAGTCTGTGTGATCTGCTTTTGATTCCCTGTTACAACAGTCTTCTTAAAAGGTGGTAGGCTACTTTAAAATGGTGTCCAGAAGTTGCTTGAGTTGTAGGAATTGTCTGTGTATTGAACTTTGCTTGATAGAAAGCTACACTAATTGTTGCACTCAGCAGTTCTTGTTGGAAACTCTGGGAGTCGCTCAGACCTATTTAGCATACTTGAGGTTCTGGGTTTCCTTCTTAACATGGGGAGGAGGTGGGGCATAGGACCCTGCATGATTAACAAGGAATTTCATTTTCCCGGGTAAGTAAGTGAAGTTCTCAAATGTAATTGCCTTGTTTTATAAATATACATTATTTCATATACTGTTTTCCAAGAAAATTATTTTTAAAGTTCATAAATCCTTCAGAACTGTTTCCATGATTTCCCTGTCCTCTCTATAAATATTTTGGTTTATTTCAACAGTCATCTACTGAGTCAATGTTTGGGCTCTATGGTAAGTGGGTGGGTGGTAGAAGAGGTCCCAGGAAACCCTAAGTCAAACATGGAAAAATAAAAGTAGAAAAATCACAATGTTGTAGAAATCTTTCTGAAACGTATTAGGCTAAATGTTAACACAGACTTCTAGAAGGAAAAGAATGTATGAGGCTAGCTTAGGAGTAGGAACTGAGGGAATTTCCATCTTCCTTTGTCTTATATACACAGTTACACTTATTGATGGGCTGTTACATTCATTCCAGTCAGTGGGTTTTAAATCCTTCAAGTTCTTCCAACAATTGTGAAAAAACAACCTGCGTGCTTCTTAATATTTAGCACTTTCCAAGTTTTTACTTTGTTTTTATGGAGGGAGAAGAATGCGAAGAAGACTCCTTTGTTTTTATTTTAGTGAAGGGAGTACTAGTAGAAAAAATTCAAGCATTTCTAATATTTTGTCTCTGATGTCTAAATAATGGGGTTTGGGTAGGGGTTTAGAGATAGAAAGAGAAAATTATTCCTCTTAAAGGTTTTTTTGAGTATTTTGCTAAGCATTTTAAATGAGGGATATAGAGTTTGGTTAAAAATGTCTTTTTTAAAATTTAAATTAGAAACAAGCTTGCTTCACATGTCAATCCCAGCTCTCTCTTCTTCCTCTCCTCCTTTGAAAGAATATCTTAAATATATTAAAATGTTGGTTTTCCTGGTTACATTTAAGTAATATTCTTTCTGCATGTTTTTTCATTCTGTACCAGTTCAGTCAAAGAGTGCTGATCCTTTGAAATCAAAACATCAGTTGGATCTAGAGCGTGCCCATTTTCTTGTTACACAAGCTTTTGATGAGGATGAAAAGGGGAGTGTGGAAGACGCCATAGAATTATATACGGAAGCTGTGGACCTCTGTCTAAAAACCGTAGGTATCGCTGTGGGCCAAACTTGATGGAATTATGTTAAGAAAGTGCTTCCCTTACTCACAAATGTTATTTAATTTGAAGGAACCCCCACATTCTATCATTATAAATAAAACTAATCTTCACTGAAAATGTTGAGAACACTAATAATAGAGTT